CCCCCCCCCCCCCCCCCCCCCGTAGTTTGGAAAATAGACACCAATAATGCCCCCTCTATTTTCAAAAATCATTTCTAAATTTCCTATGGTTAGAGGTATCGAAGCCCAATACCTATTTTCCGTTCATTTTTAGGTTTTTTTTAAAAAAATTGTCGTTAGAATGTTTTTGAAAGTCAAAATTGTTTGTGTATGAAATAAAAAAATAAATGAAATGAAAAAATTAGCATATACTTCATCCATATTGACTAAAACATTTTCATTTTTTTATAAAATAAAAAAGAAAAACTTTTTTTAGATGTCTAAAAAAGAAAATGAGGAGTATGAAAAGAAAATAATATAAAAGAAAAACACACGATTTTCAAAAAAAAATAGATGTCCCAAAAAGGGGTTTCTTTTTAAATTTAAAAATAAAAAGAGGATTTTTATTAAAAAATAGAATTTGTTGGGTGTCTGTATAAAAAAAACATCCTTATTCTTTTAATTCCTTTATGTCTTCCTGAAAGAATGTTATCCAAAAGAGTGTTTTGTACAAGGGCCTTATCAGCCCACTTCAACAAGAGTATTATTTATTTTTTTTCATTTCTGTTTTCCATTTGTTTCTCTTTTATTTTATTCCATTTTTCTATTTTTTTTTCTTTTTTTTTTGAAACCAAATACATTTTTTAAGTTGAGACAAATGAAGTATATGATAATTTACAAACACAAACAATTTTAAAATTTTAAAACATTATAAAGAATCATTTTAAAAAAGAAATTAAACACTAAATGGAAATAGGATATTGGGCTTTGATATCCTTGTGGTTTGGTATATAGGCACCAATGCCCCCTCTTCGCCGGAAAAGTGAACGGAAAATAGCCGGGGTGGGTGCCTGCTCAATATTTTGAACCCATAGAAATTTTAGAAATAAGTTTTTATTTTTGAAATCAATGGGGCATTGGTGCCAATTTCCAAACCACAGGGGCCATAGGAGCTATTTGGCCCATATATAAAGAAAAGTTGTTGCTAAATCCACTCCTCATTTGGCTAGATCCACCCTTTTTTATACTAAATGGACATGTTCATCCTTAGTGCTTAGGAAAGGGAAAGAAGGAAGTGAAAGGACAAAGTTGTCAATTTCTTATAAATGGAGAGGATTTAGTAAAATAAGGAGTGCATTTAGCACCACTCATAAAGAAAATACTAAAAAAAGAATGATGCTTAGATCCATGGAAGAGTTTTAAAGGCAAGACTCAGGCTGACCTCATTCTCAAGATCAGGCTTCTTTTGCAATTTTCTTTTAGAAGCAAAAGAATCTCCTCCGACATTAGCTTTTTTCACGGGGTTTCCCTCGGAATTAGTTATTGCATCCTCATAGGGATCACCTTCTGCCTTCTGGAAATTATCAAAATTACCACCATACGAATTCCTCAAGCGCCACCTTTGTTCTGGCTTGTCTGATAATGATTCATCATACACATTTTCACAGATGAAATGCTTGGAAAAATGTTTCATTGCCCTTTCATTTGGGAGGCTTTTCAGTATTCTGTAGCATTTAAACACTAAATTGGTTCAATGGAGGAAGATAAAAATAGAACATAAGTCACGGATGAAAGTCAAAGAAAATAGAGATATGCTGTAAAAAAAAGAGTTCGGAAAGAGCATACCCGTCAGCTACTACTCTTTGCAGATAAGTTCCATTTAGTGAGAGACTCTGTTCGACAATTGATAAAGTAGCCTTGCGCCATCTCCAAGAGCCGCAAGAGATGCCAGCACCTACGAAAATATATTTAACATTAATATGCTACTTCCAAATAAACCTTCAAAGAAGGCAGCAAAGCATCTTTGAAATCTCTATCACGTGACTTTTCAAAAGTTAATATACAAAATTTATACATAATAGATATGTCAGGGTTGGGGAGGGGAAGGCTTGTACATTACAATAATACATAGATGTAGCCATAGCCTCATTGATCCTGTCTATCCACTCATTTGT